GTTATTATTCCAATGTCAAATGTACTCCAACATGCTTGTGTGTGTTGAATGCTGAGTCCTACCTTGTAGTCCTATTATGGAATGTTCTAAAGGTTGTGGGAAGAGAAAGTACATTTAGGGATAGACACATGCCTTTGGAGTCTCCACATCCTTCCATTCAATCTGTTCCGTGTCCATCTTAAGGTGAGTAACCTTCTCCTTACCCCAGGCTCAGAAGCAAGGGAGATGAATAATATGGATTGAAGTCTGTGAAATCATGAGCTACAACAAATCTCATCTCCTTTTAAGTTGTTTACATTTGGACTTCTAACTAAGACATCAGACAACTGCCTAACATACTTCTCTGAAATTTTACTTTCCATGGTTTCAATTATCTATGGTCTATCATAGTCTAAATGGAGAATTACAAAGATAAACAGTTTGTATAATTTTAAAGTTAAAGAACCTTCTTAATAGTAGGATGAAACTTGGACCATCTTGCTCTGCTTCTGAAGGCCTGTTCCATCCCTCTGTGCAGAATATTCCTGCTGAATATGCTACTTGATCATGGTCCCTTAGTAGCTATCCTGCTTATCAGCTAAACTCTCAGGATGTCTTTGAGCTTGTGATCAAGGAAACTTTATTTTGCTGAATAATAATTACAGTGATCAGAAATGGCTGCTACTGAATATCTTATTGCTACATTGTTAGGTTTTAGTTCATTAGTAGTTATTGTTAGTCTCCTGCTCTCTGTTTACATGCTCAACTGTATCACAGGTACATGTGTGTGTATGAAGATGGAGAATTAAATGGTCCGGTGGATGTAGCTCTTCCTGCTGGATTTAGGAATGAAGCCCTTAAGGACAAGGTAACACTAATGCATAATATAGACCTCAATCCTGATCTCCATGTAAAAAGTAGCCAAACTTTTTAAAATTATTAAATATTTGCCTTTTAGAAGAAATGTCAATACATACAAAGTGAACCAAATGTTAGACTCAGTGCCAGCCAAAAAGGAAGAACACTGATTAAGCTTCTTGGCAGAGGAACACCTAGAAGATGGTGCCCTGTGGATCAGGATTATCATAACCCACAACTCATTACTGAAATGAAAGACCTCCAAGTAAGTTATGAAGCATAACTGATACTCAATCATTTAAGATTCAGCCATGGGGTGAAGGGTGCCAAGGATTTGCTGACTTCTAAGTGGAAAATCTGAGTGGATGATGATGCAGTTTGGGGGATTTTGTTCATTTCTTTGATTACATTAGGACAAGAAAGAAAGGAGAAGAAAGGTAAGAGTCAATGGAGGGGGAATTGACTTGATATGGCCACTTTGAGGCTATGAGTGAAGTGGGGCTACCTATGAGTATTTACACACACATGCATGCACACACACATGAATGCACACACACGCACACACACACATGCACATACATATGCACACCCACACATGCACACCTACATGCACATACCCACACATGTACACACACACACCCACACATGTACACACACATATGTGTGCATACATGATACATGCACAAAAAAATGATATTCAACATGAGTTGAGGAGTTTCTAAACTATAATGACAGCTAATATAAGTTTTACCATATACCAGGAATAATAATAAGTGTTATTAAAATTTCTAAAGAATTTCATTGGGCAATAAATACAAATGTCACCTTATAAATAAGAAACCTAATGTATAGAAAGATGAGGTAATTTCATTAATTCTACAAAGGCAATTAAATGAGTTAGAATACAAATTTGAGCAGGGATTGATATCTATGAACTATCTATGAGATGAATTTTCTATTTGCCCATGAGTAAAGGCAGAAATGTTAAATAGAACTACAAAAATGTCAATAACATTATATTCAATGACTTGAATTTGAGGATAAAGGCTAACTGACATGGTGTTTACACACCTAAAATCATTTAGTGAAGAGTCCTACACTGGTTCATTCTAGCAAAGAACTCTGAGGCATGTAGGCCCTCAACTCTATGATTCTTTAGTCACTGAACATATATATTACAAGAAAATATATTGCAGAAATAAAATAAGAATTTTACAAAAGAGAAAATAACATTTAAAATTCATTTAGGGTCACATATAAATTAGAGAAAACACTTTCAATCACGTATACCACGATCAGTTTGTATTCTTGTCCTTCAGTTTCCACAAATACCAAGAGTATTTAGTTAAGGGTATGCTATCATCTACCTATCTCAAGTTGGAAATAAAAATAAAGGATTTTTCTTCAGTAGCACTTGGCATCACGCATGGGGATATGTATAGGACAGACTCCTGGAGCAGAAGCACACATGTGCAGGTTTGGCATAAGGAGCTTTGCATTTGCTAAAATATAATGGAACTTCAAGCTAGACATAGCAAATGAGAACCAATTCACAACAAAAAAGAAAATAGCCCCTTAAAGAATCAAATTATAATCAACACAAAAATTAAATTACTGTCTCCCTCTAAATGGCATATTTCCAGAAACTCCATTTAGTTCAAAAGGACAAAAAGGAAGTGACACTAGCTATTCGTTGGCCTTATTTTCACTGTGCCTATGTAATTTCATTAAACCACTTAAGAAGAAAGTTCTTAATGGAATGCATTATTTCTGAAAGCAGAAACAAAAGCTGCACTTGAACATGAACGACATGAATTGGAACTATTGGACTTGAGACTGGACTTTTAAAGCAAATTAGTCTTGGTATATTGGACACGACTCCAAATGAAACAAAAAAGACATATGTTGTTTTTAAAAGTGAGGGGATTTCACCCATCAATGAGACAAATATTTGACACATCCTCCTAGCAAGACTCTGGTCGCATCATGGAGAAAAGGTAAAGGTTGTAAGAGCCTGAGGTTCTTCTGGAGATAACAGGACTGGTGGCCCCATGAACTCACATCTACTATGCCTACAAGATCAAGAGAGTAACTACTCCAGTAAATGTGGAGTAGAGCACACAAGCACCCACACCTAGAAGGGGAGCTATTGACTGTTGATGGGTACTAGGGGAAGGAGATTCCACTACCAGGCAAGTCTAGACTGTATCAAGTTCACAGGATGTATCAAGTTCTCCAGGATGGCTGAGAAAGTTAAGATAAATCAATAAGATGGCAGAGGTAGTCCTCCCAAGCCATACTGAAAACACCCATCTTTAACCATTTACAAAGCAAAGAAGAGCTAGAAGAGTTCCATCTTTTAAGGTGATTCTCTGCCTGCCTTGCAAAATGCAAACTTATGTTCATTTTATATACTGAAATATGCTCCCTTTCATTGTCTTTCACTGAAAACACAATATTTGTTGACTGAAAAAAATCAGGAACATACTGGAATGGTGTAGTAGTTCTTTTGATGCTAAGTTTGCTCAGGCTGGCTCTCCGTAGCCCCAAAGAATTTTCAGCCATATATTGTCTCAGCAAGCGATATTTGAGCCATATATTTCCCTAAAGCACAGTAGTTTAATGATTGGCACTATCCTCATTAGTAAACATTCTACTGTATTTTATAAACAAAACAGAAACAATGGGATATTTAAGATACGGATATCCCAAAGAAATCAATGTTTAGAAGCACTGGATAAGCCGGGTGGTGGTGGCGCACGCCTTTAATCCCAGCACTTGGGAGGCAGAGGCAGGCGGATTTCTGAGTTTGAGAGTTCGAGGATAGCCTGGTCTACAGATTGAGTTCCAGGACAGCCAGGGCTACACAGAGAAACCCTGTCTTGACAAAACCAAAAAAAAAAAAAAAAAAGAAAGAAAGAAAAAAGAAAAAAAAGCACCGGATATTATTTTTTCATTTACCTTAAATTTAATTCTTGAGTTATAATCTTATGTGTATTGTCCCAGTGAAAAGTGACCAATGTAGAGTACATATTTTCATGCACATACTAAAGATATAAATATGTCTCAGGGTGTAATGGTGAACTCAACATCTGTCTTTGCCAACTGCATGCAATGCTGAATTATGAAACACTAGAGTTATCCTACATCTAACATCACATTCTGACAATTTGTGTTCTGGATACCCTGTGTATAATTTTGAGTCTTCTAATTATATTATTATTCTCTTTAAAATTTGATTGGTTGAAAAATAAACAATACAAAATGAATAAGTCGGTAAGAAATTTCTAGTTCCAGACAGGATGGTGGAAATAGCAACTCTCTAGCTTCTGCATATCACAATAAACTAATCTACTCAAAATATAACAGTCCTAATAAGAACTCAACAGGGTAGAAGAAAAAAGGCAGATTGGTTTGGGGCCTGAGGATGTAGAAGATGAAATGACAATGAATCTCTTTTGTTACTTACCCTCTTGTGGCTGTTATACACTGTTATTTAAGTTTCAGAGAAAGCCTCAGAGCAGAAAAATATCATCACTAGCAACAAAAATAACAATAATAAAGAACACCAAAGGGAAGCCAAAAACTGGTGAAATTGGTAGCCCTATAAACCTTGCATCTTTAAGTCACACCGGTCCAGTCTGCAGGTGAATGCACAAGCCATGGCCCTTCTATCAAGGATGCTACAGGAGGTAGAGGAGGTCAGTGAGAAACAGCTCTCTACAGTAGGCCTGTGGCCAGAAACCTATCTGCTACTCATATTTAATAAACACAGAGCATCCCTTCTTTATTGGAGTCATGGTTTAAACAGACTCTCAACTTACCTTCAGGAAATAAATTCCTTGTCTGATAGACCTATCACTGAAACTGACTTTTTCTTCCCCAAGAGTGATGCCAGAATATCTGACTGAGCAGCATAGCTTTCAGGTCAGTGTTCTGCCACAGAGCACCCAGAAAGCCCAATCATATATTTTGTTGGTTCTAGTCTGTTCTCAAGTAATTTTAAGAAATTCAGCAACTTTAATTTTCCTGATGAGTTAAAATGCTAAGAACCATTTGTTGGGATGGACTGGTCTCCAAAATACGAACTTTGTCTAGAGACTTATTCAAAGAAAGAATAACATCATCAATGAAATATTTGTTGTCTTTCTGACATTACTTACTTCCTTCTCTCTGTCTCAAATCTATGGAGTAGTTTTCGAAGACCACCATTCTTGAATCCCTGAAAATGGGCAGCTGGGGCCCCCACAGTGATGACATCATAGAGAGCATCTGGAATGGAAACAAGGAGATGAACACTTAGCAACCATTTGTCTCCTGCACACACTGTGCACTAGAGTATCCATGCTGCGGGAAGTTTGAGAAATTATTCTGTTTCAATTTGTATGAATAACTATGAACTCTCATCTCAAGGGGGCAAGAAGAACTAATCAATCTTTCTAAAAGCCACCTGCGCACATCAAAAAGTTATAATATTTCCAAGATTTATGACTGCATCTTAATTATATGCTACAGTGCAGAACAGCATGTTCTTCAGTCCTCCACCTAACTACTGAGATAACATGTTAATTGGTCTTTTGTATGTTTTACTTTATTAAGTTTTGCATCATTTAATTTGCAATCATATTGAAATTCAACAATAATGAACAATTTCTCAACCAAAGCTTATAGAGACATGTACGAAAAAAATATTAATTTATTTTTGCTCAAGGGCAGAACAGTACTAGCACTTTAAAAAAATTTTATCCAGTCATTTTCTGCTTATCTGTTCTAAAATTTACACAGTTTTGAATACATATATTTGTAATTTATTATAAAATATGTGGAGAAATCAAATGTATCAGTATGTTTCTAACTAGATATTTTGCTTTTTATAACAAAAATTCATACATTTAAATTGAAAATCTTTTGATCCTGAAATTTATGGCTTCAAAACATGCCATCATTTTATATTCAAATGGAAGATATCCATCTTAGAAAGGCAGAGTGAATGTTCTCTGGTTAAACTACATTTTTGTTGAGAAATCTAATTTCAGAGAAGATGTTTCTCAAATTGATTTTGATATTGACATATTGGTTGTTTCTAAGATATGGCTTACTGAGAAAACATAAATTGTTTTATTAGCCTCAGGTAAACATCATTGCTACTTGAAAATTACACGGTCTAGATCCATCTGAATTATTATTGTATTAAATTAGAATATCTCCATTCTGAAAATAGAAGGTTAAAAGAAATAAAATACAATTTCCAATGTGACCCATATAGCATGGGTTCAACAATAAATTAATGGACTTTAATAATAATTGCAGTGTTGTAATAATTTGTTAACTTTTTAAAAGTCTAATAAATTCAGTTATAGCATTTTAAGATAGTAGAATATTTGTTTTATAAGTAATGAAATTATTTTTTACCCCAGAGAAAATACTTCATCCAAAGGATTAGCTTTCATTACACCAGAAAGTGCCATGGAGAAAAGCAACCAATGTGAAGCTTATAAACCACAATGAACACCATGTGACTAGATTACCAAGGATGGAATATTAATTATAGCTGCAACCTTTACATGCATAATAGCAATTATACCTGGGCTATAGCTAACAGCTGTTTAATATGACTGTAGGCATGCACAATATAGGAAATTTCATGCCTAGCACTGAAAATCTAGCCAACCACCTATTGTAGTTTGTACTGTAGAGGAGAGCCCACTACTTCCAATTTACTTGCCCTAACCAGTATAATCTCTAATTACATTCTTAATATGTATCTTTAACCCACAGATAAGGGCAGTCCTCACGTCTCTCTCTTCATTAGATGGAGACTATTGTGGAAGGACACAACGGGTTGATTCAATAAACAACTGTTGTGGTTTGATTAGGAAAAAATAAAACCTTAATTCTCAAGCCTTGAGAATTAGGTGTGAATTAGGTGTGATCTTTTCTACTTTAATATCATATTTCATCATTCCTGTCAGTGGATAGAATTAGTAAACTTATGTACACTTGTTAGCTACTGCACACCAAAACCTCTTTCACTGACTCATCTATCTATACTAGGCCAACAACTACAAAAATTATGAGTCACTGTGGTGTCTTTGACTTCAATCTAAAAGTATAAAACTGATTCTGTTTTTTTTTCTCTACATTTTAAAATTTATATGTAACCTCTTTGCCTGGCACTAAGAAACTGGCCTCTGATTATCAGCATATCTACATATGTGATCAATCCTCCTATACAAATGAATTAGCTTTGTAGGTTGCCCATACCATTGTAAGAAACAGGTTTATCCAAAAGTTGCAGTATTTGCATTACACACTCTCCCCCACTATTGATTAACAGTCTCTTTGTTATTTATACATTTATTTATTTATAAATTTTTCATTTTTATTTATTTACATTTCAAATGTTATCCCCATTCCCAGTTTCCCCTCCACAAGCCTCCTATCCTGTCCTCTTCCCCCTACCACTATGAGGGTGCTCCCCCACCAGCCCACCCACTCCTACCTCAGCACCCTAGCCTTCACCTACACTGGGTCCACAGGATCAAGGGGCTCCCCTCCCAGTGATGCCTGATAAGGCAATCAATCCCCTGCTACATATCCAGCTGGAATCATGAGACCCCCAAGTGTACGCTTTGATTGGTGGTTTAGTCCCTGTGAGCTCTGGGGGGTCTGGTTAGCTGGCATTGTTTTTCTTCCAATGGGGTTGCAAACCCCTTCTGCTCCTTCAGTCCTTTCCCTAACTTCTCCATTGGGGTTCCTGTTCTCAGATGTTTGGCTGCATACATCCACGTCTGTATTGGTCACCTAGCCACCTCAAAAATGTTAATCCAGAATTCCTCCTGTCAAAAGGCAATGCAGGGACAAAGAGTGGAGCAGAGACTGAAGGGAAGGCCATCCAGAGACTGCCCCACCTAGGGATCCATCCCATCTGCAGACACCAAACCCAGACACTATTGCTGATGTCAAGAAGCACTTGCTGACAGGAGTTTTTTTGTTCTTAGTGAACCTTGTTCCTAATGAACTTAATGAAATTATCAGCTGTAGTATTTTCAATATTTTTTTTACAAAATATTAATATTTTTACAAAAAATAAAAGTAAATTAAAAACAAAAGATGGTAGAGTTTATGAAAATCTAGGGAATATTTACATATTACTAAAAAATCAAGATGTGTTTGTTCTTGCAAATAAATGCCAGGAAACAAAAAAAGCAAGAGAAAAGAGAACACCACTTTGCTGTCCAATACCAAATGTTCACCCTGAAAGCATAAAGGTCACATACTATGGGCTAAGCAACTTGTATTCTTATATCTAGAAACATATGCACATATACATGCAAAAACAACTAAAAAGAGGGCATGCATCTGAATGAGAGGAAGAGGCAGTTTATTGGAGGGGTTAGGGGCAAGATGGGCGAGGAGAAATTATGTAAGGATGATTTTAAACTTCAAATAGAAAACAAAACGAACAAACCAGAAACAGGATGGCTAAACAACCCTGAACAACAAAACAACTTCTTCATGAATTACCATCCCTGGTTTCAGGTTGTATTACAGAGCTACAATTTAAAAAAAAATCATGGTGTTGCCATAAAAACAGATACATTGATCAATAGAATCAAATTGAAGACCCAGACATTAATTCATATACCTACGAACACTTGATTTTGATAAAGAAACCAGAAACACACTGGGAAGAGGAAATCATCTTTATCAAATGGTGCTGGTCAAACTGAATCTCTGCATATTGAAGAATGCAAATGCATCCATATTTGTCACCCTGCACAAAAGTCCAAGTAGAGCAAAGTCCTCAACATAAACCTGATAGAAGACAGAATGAGGAATAACCTTGAACACATTAGCACAGGAGAGAACTTCCTAAGTAGAACACGGATAGCACAGACATCAAAATCAACAATTAATTGAATGTGATCTCATGAAACTGAAAAGTTTTGGTATGACAAGGACAATCATCAATCAGATGAAATGGCAGCCAACAAAATTGGAAAAGACCTTTACTAGCTCCACATCCAATAGAGTTTCAACATCCAAAATATATAAAGAAATCAAGAAACTAGACATAAAAAATAAAATAATACAATTAAAATATGGTGATAGATTTAAACAGATAATTTTCAATAGAGGAATCTCAAATGGCTAAGAAACACTTAAAGAAATGCAATATATTCCTAGCCATCAAGAGAATGCAAATAGAATCTACTTTAAGATGTCATCTTACACCTGTCAGAATGGCTAGGATTAAAGAGTGACATGTGACAGCTCATGCTGGTGAGAATGTGGAGCAAGAGGCACACTCCTCCAATTGCTGGTGGGGATGCAAATTTGTACAGTCCCTATGGAAATCAATTTGGTGGTTCCTCAGAAAATTGGGTATTGATCTACCTCAAGGCCAAGCTATATCATGTTTTGTCATAAACCCAAAGGATTCTCCATCCTACCATGAGGGCAACTGCTCAAGCTCAGCTATGTCCATTGCAGCTTTATTCATCATGACCATAAACTGGAACCACCTAAAAAGAATCATCCTGAGGTAACCTGGACCCAGAAAGACAAATATGGTATTTATTCATTTATATATAGATATTATCTGTTAAGTAAATGATAATCCAACTACAGTGCATGGACCGGACAGGTTAGACGAAGGAAGGGCTCTAGAGGGTGCATGGATCTCCGTGGGAAGGGTAAAAAAGATTTTGTGGGTGGACTCTGGGAAGTTTGGAGCAGGAGTGGAAGGGATCAGGTGTCAGGAGAGGAATGAAATGAGAGAATGTGGAGAGACAGAACTGGGATTGGCGAACATTTGAGACTAGCGTGAAAAATAGTTCAGAAAAAAAAAAACTTAATTAAATTTTTAAAATGTTAAAATTATAAAATAAAACAAGATAGAAAGAGATAGAAAAAGCCCAGTGTCCGTTTCTGACTTCCACATGCTCACACAGTGTATATACCCAAAAAACCCTTTAGTGCACAAATTAAATTGTTGTGTCAATAACTATAAATCAAAAAGGAAATAAAATTCAGAACTGAATTTTAAATTTTTTTTTAAATTGCAAAGTGAAAGCATGGCCAATGTAACCTAATTATGAAACTAAATAATCACTAGATATATTTTAAAGAGAGAAAAGACCTTTAAGCATCACTCAGCTTCAACGTTCATAGAAATATTTGAAATCACCCAACTACAGATATATAGTATTTTTTCTAAATTCTAAAACAGTATCTCATTCATTTTCCTGTGGTTTTACTCAAATATAATTTTTGCATTAGGATCAATAAGTCTTGTACAAGGAAACCTACTGTCTGTGTCATGATATTGAAAAAAGCATACAAGTCTCTGACCAGGCATGTCTGTGTCTAGAGCTGTGTTGGTTCTGCCTCTTAACCAGACTCAACTCTCAGAAATCATGGATCATTATGAATCCATTCTATGTTCATGATTTTTAATGGAAACGCTTTTTTCTGTTTCGCATTTTAAACAGGTTTGCTTAAAGTTTTCAATTTTAACATTGAAACCCAAAAAGTAACTCTGAGAAACGTGCTTGAAGACATCTATTGAGTCATCTTCTGCAAATGGACATGGGTTTCAACGCCAGTTAGCAGCTTTGTTCTACAGTTATGGATATGACTATGCAAGCTTTGTCCAATGATCTGAAATAATAGTGCATTGTTATACAGTATACAATTCATAACTCAAATTCGGAGAAAATTTGTCACATTAAAGTAGGTAACTTTTAAAAAACAGTATTTTCTATGGAACTTACTTTTTAATTTTAATCTAAGAGAAGCTTACTTAGTATTTTGTAATACTCATTTGAGAATAAACAATTACTGATAAATATTAGAACAACTAGGTTTCTCTCTTTGGATCCCAGAGCTTTGAATTTCACTTGCAATTACTACAAAATAGTAGATCGATCTATGCAGGTGGTTAATTTCCTGGTTTCTAAATAATGAAGAAAAATGTCCAGCTAAAGAACCACATTTATTCTTAGCCATACTCCTTTAAAATTAGAATTAACCACGATTGATTATTTTTCTTTAGGCGGGAGCAGACAGAAGGGTGAGAATAGAATCACTAACAAAATCTAAAGTGAAAGGTAACAATTTAATATCAAGAAATTGTATTGTTTTTTTAAATTTTTCCTATTTTACCCCACTCTGAGTATCTTCATAATTGTAATAGTTTTTTAGTCATATGTAACAGAACTCTTCAAACTTTGCCATCAAGAAAATACCATTAAAGCAAGGTTGAATGGGGAACCTGTAGGAGCAGAAACTGTGGGAGCCAGAGAGGTCTAGAACACCAGGAGAACACGGTCCATGCAATCAACTGAACAGGCTCAGAGGGGCTCACAGAGGCTGAAGCAGCAGTCAGGGAGTCTGCATGGGTCTGACCTAGGTCCTCTGCGTATTTGTTATGGTTATGCAGCTTGGTATTCTTGTCGGACTCCCAAGAGTGGGAGTGGGGGATGTCTCTGACTCTTTTGCCTGTCTTTATTACTCTTTTCTTAATTGTGCCTAGTCTTAGAGGAGCTTGTTATGGCCTGTTTGGTTGATACCCCAGGAAGCATGCTCTTTTCTGAAAGGAAACTGGAAAAGTAAGAGGAGAGGAGAGGAGAGGTGGGGTGAGGGGCAACTGGGAGTAGACAAGGGAGAGGAAACTGAGGTCAGGATGTACTGTATGAGAAAAGATTTTTGTAAAAACGCTAAAATAGGTACTTAAAGCCTCCCTTCCTTTGTATTTCTTTAAAAATGTTCTTTCCTTCACTGACATTATACGATATCTCAAAAATGTCTTTGGTTTTGTGAAAATGACAATGTGTTCCATGCCTCGGGGAAGCAAGGTTTAAATGGGTGAGTCACATCAAGCTGCAGAGAACAGAATAATTCGAAAATTCATAATAAAGTTTTCTTGTAGCCTTTTAGTGGTGTTTAATAATAGAAATGAGATAACTCTATTTTTACAGGAGATCTTGTTAAAATCTCTTCAACTATAAAATGCGTTAATAGAAAAATCTCTGCATGATGATTTCATATCAAGGAACAATTTAAAACATAATCTGGGTTTCAAAATGGCACCCAAAATCCACTTGAAATGAATCACCAGGCTTTTGTGAGTTTGTATTTCTAAATAGCTAGATCATGATCATCCCTAGCAAATCTGAGAGAAGTGATCCTTACTGAAGGGTCGATGCAGCTAAACCTTTGAGACACAGAGTTGAGGGAGCTCGAACGGCTCCTCTAGTTCCTTCCTTCTCCCATTTGGCTATTACTCCCGGTTACACTGCAAAACATAATTGGTGTTGAATGTGACTCTAATGTCACACCTGTGACATGGATTTTTTTTATTACATTTTAAGGTAGATATTAAGATACTTTCAATAGCAACTGTTTGAAACATCTAACAAAAGAAAGCAATGGACGAGCATCTGCACAGCCTGGCTGGATGTTTTGCTTTATTTTATGCAAACTCTGAGCTTGTAGATCCCCTCCGAACTCAATCAGCAACTAAAAGACTTTGAGAGACTCCCATTTTTGGCTGGCTTCAGTAGTATATCTATGATTTTCCTTTTCTTAATATGAGTTTAAATGAAGATGGTCCCCATATGTTTTTATTTTCAAGTGTTTGGTTCCCAGTTGGTGGAATGTTTAGGAAGGGTTGAGGTGTACGGCCTTGTAGGAGCTGTGTAAATGGAGAATGGACTTTAAGAGTCAAGTCCATACAAGAACTAATCTTGTTTCCTCTCTGTGTCGCCATCTTGCTGATGGCTAATGCTCCAGCTCCATGCCTTCCTGCCTGCTTCCATGTTCCATGACAATCATGAACTAACCCTCTAAAACAAAGCAGCCCCTGATTAAATGCTTCCTTTTATAAGTTGCCTTGGTCATGATGTTTCTTCACAGCAATAGACTAGTAGCTAAAAGACGTAGAAAAGATAACCAGTGGTTGGTTCCCTAGAATACACTTAGAGTTAAACTCATAGACTGGGTTGCCTCAGGAAACTCAAAATAGGGCCCAGGAGATAAGCTTCATTGTCTCAGGTTAGGACAAGTGTTAATTCTTCGTCTGCCTTTTTGTCTCTCTTTCCTCCCTCCCTCCCTCCCTCCTTCCCTCCCTCCCTCCCTCCCTCCCTCCTTACCTCCCTCCCTCCCTCCCTCCTTCCTTCCTGTCTTTTCTCCAGGTTTCTATAACACATACTATGGCATCACACCCTTTAATAAGTTTTACTTAAATGACTAGAGTAAAGTTGTAAGATATATCTAAGATTTACAGAGCACTGATATTCAAAATTAGTAATGCATGGATAATGCAGACACATAGAAGAATTCAATTATATACATTTCAAATAGACCAGCTACATTGTTGCTGCTCAATTACACTATCAATTACAGTATTAAGAGCCCTGAACTAACACTAAAGTATTACTTCTTTAAAGAAAAACAATTACCTTAATTTGAATTCATTACATTTTATACCCCAAATATAGTGCTTTCATTATTATATCTAACATAAAAAAGAATTACAACTGATTATTATAATATTATAAGAATCTGTATCTTATAGTGTTGACAACTGATGGACTGTAAAAATGAAACACATTGAAGTATTCTGGAGTGTGCACTTAAAAGAATTTCTGGAGATTTTGCTTCTGTTTCTGTTGTCGTTTCATCGTGTCTAGCCTCTCTATTGCTTTGGGTATTTGTTACACTTAAGTCATTAATAAGGATGAAAAATTAATAGTCTGAAAGCACCTGAAGCTAACTGAAGGTTATTTCATTTGTCAGTAGGAGACAACATAGCATTAGTTCTGCTCAGTCACCTGTTCCATGAGCTAAGCATTAGCCTGGCATTTGGAGAATCTGCCCACTATCAGTACAGTTTTTCAGAAACAGAGTTTTTACATTCAAACTTGAGATGAAGACAAATCATTGGGGTATAGCCTACATTTCTTATGGAAGAAACCTGAGCAGAAATGGAAGGGTGGAAGTCAGGAGAAGGATGGCAGGAGGGAGGAAGAGATGAAGGAGGGAAGAGGGGAAAATAATGTAGAGAAGAAAAGCAGGTAACATGTAAAGATGCAGAATTTGAAAGGTTTATGTTCACATAAAAAGATCAGCAACCACTTAATAATGAAGGAAGGGTTCCCCTCTGGCTCAAAGGATACATGGCTTGGCTGACACTTGAATTGTTGGTTGTCTAAATACCCTCATTTGAAGAATTTCATTATGTAAGTCATTGGATAACCATGCCAATCCAAATTAGCTAGCTGAGCAAGCTTTCTTTTTCCCCTAAATTCCTTCCTTTTAGTCTCCTGTTATTTTCTTTTTAATTCAGGGAATCAGATGCTAAAGACAGTGTGCCTACCCTAGTTCATTGCTGTCTACCTCTAATATGATGCACCAGTCACTTGAGACATAGCTCAGCTATGCTTTGAGAACCTCCTGAACAGGAGATCAGGCAAAACATTCTCCCACTTTCCACTGACTAAGCTCTGCCCAGCTGGCTTGTTCCCACAAGGAAGAGCATGTATGTTACTGCTAACTGCCACAGAAGCAGATAAGCAGTATACGGCTTCATTCTGGAGTTTAGGCCTGTACCAAAGATAACAACATGAAGCTTGTTTTCTTTTCTTCTCTTAACCAATTAAAGCAGTAATAAGAGTATTACCTCCCAGCCATTATGATGCTACTTAGGGAGCTAAGACTCTGAGTTTCTGTCTCTAAGTTAGATCAAGTACAACATTTATAAGCTGTTCCATGAAAAGCACCAATGGCGTTATTTTCTTTCACCAGTGTGGACCAGCATCAGCTTTGGTTGCTTCCTCTTCATGCTCATCTAACTCTTAAATTAGGGAGTCTGCCAATCATCAAACTTTCTAAACACAAACACACACACACACACACACACACACACACACACTGACACAGTCTGACACTCCTGAAGGAATATCAATACCTTTCAGGTGAGGGCTGTGCACTTGCATCCGTTGCAAGTGTAGATTTATTGGAACAAATTCTAATGTTTTCTCTCCTTTGCTGCTGCTGGATTTGAAAGAGGACCCTAGAAAAATAAAGATCAGAAATGGTTAACAATTGAACAAAAAGACATACAAATGAATATGTAGTGTGTGTGCCCTCAACAATACACATGGAAAAAAAATAAGAGATGTTTCAAGAACTTCAGAAAGGAAAACAATAATCCCTTCACATTCTTCACATACATTAATTTTAAAAATTCCCTCAGTCGTTATTATATCACTTTAACAATACTATAAAGCAGAGTACAATAGTCTATTCTTCCTTGCTGTAGATACCAAGGTAAGAGAGAGTTAAGAGCTTCATCGTCGGCTCTTCTACCTCTGCATCCACAGGTCTAGTCATAGCTTCTTTGTGACATTAGTTAATGAAATGTAATCTGGGTAACTGAAGTTGCTGCTTCATACCCGTTTCCTTGGAAAGTTCTGTCAGAATGTCTTGGTACATAGTCACCATTTGATCACAGTGAGAAAGGACATTTTTCCGTAGGTTGTCCCAGTGTGGGGAAAGGTCACCAAGTTCTTTTAATTCCTGGTTTCTGTTAAGAATACAAAGTGATAGGCATGTTTATTGTTGTCTTTAAAGTACACATAATAGAACTATTCATTAACTCTATCAGATGAACTACAGAATGTTTGAAGTCCTTCGGAGGCAACTCTGAGTTTACCAGCTTAACATAAAATAAAATAAAAAAATAAATAAAATAAAATGAAGAATAAGAGGTTTAAATATAAAAATTTCAAAAAGTTAATTTTTTAATGAAATATCACAGATAGTAGGCTTGGGCAAAGTTTCCTTGACATTCATTTCTCTCAAGGACAATTTCAATACTCTGCATGCATACATGTTATCTCAGCTTTAACCAAAGGAATACCAAATCCTGCCATTTAGGTTTAAATTATTAACTTTTATCCAAATTCTAGCCTTTAGCCAAGTTAATTTAAGGAGTTGGTTTGCCTTTTGAAAGTGATGCTGATGAACAGCGGGATGTACTGCTTGGATCCCTTTCTCTTTTCTGTGACCTTTCCTGGCCACATTTTCATGACGCTAATTTAGCTAGCAATAATGATCTGTCTTTGCTAGTTTGTCCGTGAAAGATGCTAAATACCAAGCTAATAAATTCAGAAGATGGAGAATCTTTAACACATAGGAATGTTAAGTGTAACCATAATTGATGGTGTGTACCAATGTGCGTTGTCTGTTGCCTTTGCCTTGTATCAATGGGTCTGTGCTGAAGCCCACTCCACGTTTCATCTGAGGTATTCACAATCTTGGCCCACATTAATCTCAGTCTCAGTTTTCCCAAAGTCTAGCTTTTAAGATACAACATTTATCAGAGAAGCAATTAGTCAGTAGAAAATGAGGGTAGGAAGCTTAGATTAAAGAGGGAGGTGGAGAGTTAAGAAGAGAAGGTTAAAAATGGAGGAGTCACATTCTCTGACCTCCAATTGTAGGAAATTCAAATTGAGTGCAAAAACAAATGACAAAGCCAGCACGAGACTCCAGAAAGCTCCAGAAAGCTCCAGAAAGCTCCAGAAAGCCAAGCCTGGAAGACCAAGGCAAGGAGACTGGGTCTGATAGACCTGCATGGTACCTCAGCCTGGACAATCTAATAGATAATGTTTCAGGCTTTACTATAAGCATGCAGCTCTACATGGATATTAGTGCTTACTATTTCTATGTAATATTAATAGGTGTGCTTATGATTTATGAAGCCTATAAATTATCATCAGAAATATTAATGAGAGGTTTGGGTGATGAAGGGAAGGCATAAGATGACAGTGTAGCCGAACTTCATGTGGGAGAGTCCAAGTGGATACACAAGCAAGGATACAGTCTTGACAAGGATACAATGCCAATGAATAAGAGATGTTTTCTGAAACATGGTCAAAAAAGTGGGCCTTTCTATCTTGAGATAAACTGACCGCATTCTACAGAGGGTGAGATAAAACTTACTGCATTCTTTCAATGTCACAGTCTATAGAGAGAAGTACATAGACAGCTCTGTTTGCTCTAACACGACACTGAGAGGTACATGTCCAGAAACATCAATATGTGATTATTTAACATTGAGGAAAATTCAAATATAGGATGAAACCAGAACACTGAAACACCAAATGGGCACTGAGTAGCTCTCAGGTTAAAAACAAATAATTGACATAAAGTTACTATCACAATACATTAAGGTAGATTTTAAAAAACCAGAGTTTATTTAAGGGGCAACAGAAATAAGTGAACCTCACAATCAAGTGGTCAAGGGCTATTTGAACTTTATTTTTAGTATGTTTCTGATATTGCAATTTATTACTAAGTATGCAAAACTTCCAAGTTTCAATGCTTTATTCTACATCCTACTGGTTAAGTGTCAACCTATAACAAATTAATTTCAACACTTCTCTAGCTGTATAATATGTTTCCTGAGAAGTTGTCACTGGAGTGGCAAATTTCCTAGGTGAAAACACAACCCTCTGTTTCTTGGCTGAAAGAAGAGTGGGTTCCTGCACTGCTTAAGATCCTATGATGGTAGACATCATTTAGAGCATATTATGGCCTGACCGTCCTCACAAGGAGAGCTGATATATCTACTGATATGGGGACAGAAACTGACAATTACGACAGTATTGGACTCACTGTTGAGTAAGAGGTCAAGGCCAAACATAAATATGTATGTGAACTCAGTAAATACATAAAAGCAAATAAACTAGGCCCAGAGCTAGCAACTATTTGCACAACACCTTCATACACATACACAACATACATGCATAATACATGCACACATACCACTTTCATAGATGCTACTAGCATAAAAAGTAATGTCTTTCATATATAGCAAGAAGTTCAAGAACAATTGTTAACCTTGGAGGAGGTTTCAAATGAAGAATTTCTTTGATCAGATTGGCAATAGCCATGTCAAGGAAAGATTGTTCTGACTGATGATTGATACGGGACAGCCAGCCAAATGTGGGTGACACTATCTCTAAGCAGGTGGACCCAGGTTGTTTAAGAAAGCAAGCTGAGTATTATCCAGGGAGAGACCACCAAAGAGCATTCCTCCATGGTTTCTGCCACAGTTCCTGCCTAAGCTCTTTGCCATGACTCCCCCCAGTGCTGAACTGTGTGCTGGAAGTGTAAGCCAAGTAACCCATTTGCTGCCTAAATTGATTTTAATAGTGTTTTTATCACAGCAACAGGAATCATACTAGAACACAGTCTATTGAATACACTTGTAATATATAAAGAAGATGCAGCCTTAGTGTTATGTGTATCATAAAGATAGTTCAAAGCACAATTATTTGTACATACTCTGTATGAATGTATGTAACATTACAATATTCCTTTTTTGCAAGAAAAAGTTGTACCTTGAGGTGGAGTAGCTATCCATGTCTGCTAATGCCTTTCTTTCCACTGTAGCATTAGAACAGCTTTCAATGCCAAAACATCAGTCAACCATTCTATTCAAGTCTATTCAAGTTATATATTATCAGAATAAACATATCATTACCAGAGAAAACCAGTTTTATCACACAGATTGTCACAGCAGGAAGTTCAGAAAACAATCTAGAATCTTGCTTGACCAATGAGAGGCTTAGGTGGAAGTGATGGGTCATCTTTGGCACTAGAGTTTGTAAAACTATAGACTCCAGCCCCCACATCCACACTTGCCTCACAGAATACACTTATCTACTGTACACAGAACACAATATTAAAGGAAATGGTAAATGTCAAACAAAGTGTACGTAGTGAGCAAATGTTGAAGGAGTGGGAGTTATAACCTAGATTATTCACCTTCAGAACTGCATTTGAGAATGTCCATGTGCTATAATGAATAGTAACGTGCCATATAGAATGGAGAAAATCCCATGATGCCTCAGTGTGACACAAAGAACTGTGGGCAACTTAGGAAAGCTGGGAATGAAGAGGTGGTACTCCCAGGGAAGAGCACACAACTGGTTGTCCAGTGCACAATGGTCAGTCCTGAAAACATATATACAGGTAATGTCATAAAGACTGAAAAGGCTATATTTAGGAATAGGTGTACAATAGCATTTGTATATGTATGTGCATATATGTGCATGTACATGTACATGTGTATTGCATGTGTATGTGCATGTGCATGCATATATACATGTACATCTGTATGTACATGTACGTGTGTATGTACATGTGCATGTGTATGTATGTACAAGTGTATGTATATGTACATGTGAATGTTCCTGTAGGTGTATGTACATGTACATTTGTATATGTATGTATATGTGTATAATAGAACTTAATGAGAAAAGAGGCTATGAATTTGAAAGAGAGTTGAAAGCAGTAAGTGGGAGGCCTTAGAGGGAGGAAAGGGAGAAATGTTTTAATTAAATTATAATATCAAAAATTTTTTAAAAGAATAATCTGGAACATAAAATAAGTTACACCCTGAGAAATTTTTTCTTTTAGTATTTAAGCAGTGAAAAGTAAATGAAATTGAGTAAAATGTGATAAAATAAAAGATGCAGGAATAGGGAATGGATCAGAGACCGAAAGAATGGCCAAGCAACAACCAACCAAATTAGACATCCATCTCATGGGCAAGCACCAATCCATGACAGTATTAATGACACTATGCTATGCTTGCAGATAGAAACCTAACATGGCTGTCCTCTGAGAGGATCCACCGAGCAGCTGACTCAGACAGGTACAGAGACCCACAGCCAAGCATTAGATGGAGCTTGGGAACTCTTACAGAAGAATTAGGGGAAGGAATTCAGGCTCCAAGGGGATAGGAAATCCACAGGAAGATGAACAAAGTCAACTAATGGACCCTTGGGGTTTCTCAAAGACTGAACCACCAACCAAAGAGCATACACAGGATGGGACTTACACACACACACACACACACACCGTGTGTATGTAGCAGATGTACAGCTTGTAGCAGATGCACAGCTGTAGCAGATTTACAGCTTGTTCTTCATGTGGGTTCTGAACAACTAGAGCAGGGGCTACCCTTAAAGCTGTTGTCTGTCTGCAGAATCAGTTCCCCAAACTTGCCTGTCTTGTCTGGCCTCAGTGGGAGAAGCACCTAGCACTATAGAGACTTGATGTACCAGGGTGGGCAGGATATGGGGGGAATCTCTATTCTCTTAGAGGAGAAGGGGAGGGATGAGGGGAATGGCTGAGGGGGTAACTGGGAGGGGATACAGCAAAATGGATGTAAAGTGAATTTAAAGAAAAAAATCCAAGTTAGGATTCATATACATATATAGGAATACATATATACATATGTAATATATACATACATATATATATATGTATTACAGCAGAGAAGGAAGAAAATCCATAGATATGCAGGGTCCTGGAAGACTTCTGGAAAATAGCGCCTCTGTACATGAAGGGACCTCTGCAGTCATGAGTTTACAGCATATGTGGGCAACGGCACAAGACCTGCACTAAATGGAGCCAAGCAACATTCCAGTAGGGACTGAGGTAGTTCCTGAGCCTCACGTGCTCTGAGAAGCTATTGACAACTGGGTGTTTTTTCCCCTAAGGGCTAGCCAC